ATAGATTGATTAAGAGAAAAATTACAGTAGTCGAAAAAATTATAGCCGCACCAAATTTTGAAGAGTTTTAAAATATTATATTTGTTCTTATTTAATTTTGGTTAGTTTTTTATAGTTCGTTCTTTTACAACATCCGTATAAATACAAGTTAAAGTCAGTGTCATACGATTGGGTATTTGCCGAAATTTGGTGCAAATCGTATCCCAATTGTGTGAATACCCAAATATTTTTCTTTATCCCAATCAGGAAAAATAATTTGTTGAAATTGTTCAATAGAAGATTGATGGTTTGTACCACTCTTTTGACTACAAAAAAACATTTTGCCAATTTTATTTATTTTGTACCAATAAAGTGCTAATATAAAAATACACAAATCTGTGCAATGTACCAATCGAGTGACACTGCCTTAAAAATTTATACAAATTACATTTATATCAAAAAGTTTTCGTAAAAATTTCGAGTCTTTAATTAGATTCTGAGTATGCAGTTTTGTAGCCCACTGAATTCCTGTAGAGTAAAGTACAAGTTTCGATTGGCTAAAAATTACGGTTGATTTTTTAGAATTTTTAAAAGCTCGAAACTTGTACGAAAGTTTGTTGAATTTTTTTAATATTGCACTAAGTTGGAAACTTGGATTTAAACGGGTTTTGTTAAAGAAAGAACTATATTTTTATAAAAAAAAAATAATTAAGCTTAAATAACAACAAAAATAATATTTAAAACTTAGCAAAAAGTGGTTCGGCTATAATTTTTTGACCACGGTTTCACATGCGTGGACAGGCGTTCGTTGTGAACACTTTTCGTTCATAAAGCTTCCCGTTGCGTTAATACTTTTGCATTCTCTTTGCCAGGCATTTTAGAATCTTTTCTTGGGGTTAACAAAAACCTTCATATTGTGTGTTCCTTAGGAAGAAATATGTTGGTAAAGAAGCTAAAACCCGTACTTATTTAAAATTAAAATTACCAACAGTTATGTTGGCCACTCAATTATAATTTTGGCAGAAATTATATTAAAAATGCAATGCTCTTTCTTTGATGTTTAATCAGGGCACAGCAATAACTAACTGTTCAACTGCATGTGTTCATACATACACACATATTTTAATATGCCCGTATGTATTGGCATTATACTCGTTTGCTTTTTAATCTCGATTTTTACTTATTCATTTAATATGTCAATTTTTGACATGTGAATATACATATGTAAGTGCATACATGTGTGTTAATTACATAATAATTTTGCATCACCAAATGGCTGTTCGGTTCATAAAAGCGTCAATAACGAAGCTGCAGTAGCAATCGGCGGTCTTCACGCTATCCTTTTTCGCTCTTGGTACATATGTGTGGATGTGTGTGCGATTTTAATTTAATTAAACTTTAAGTTAATTAACAGTAACACTTGCGGTAGCCAAACTGCTCGTAAATACTCGTACATACAGATCTATATTTGCGTGGGTGAACATATTTGGCATACATGCTGGCATATGTGCTTATTTTCATATGTACATATGTATATGTATGTATGTTCAAAACAAACAAACAAAAAAACAGTAACAGCTACAAAATTTCACAGCTTTGAAGGTTGTCAAACTTTTGTAATCATTTTAAGTCCAGATAAGCAGTATGGACATGAAAGCATTTACATACGTACAAAAGTGTTACTTGATACAAGCAGCTACATCCATACGTGAGTCCTAAACCATTAATATAAAATACTAGCAATTACCCGGCGTGCTTCGCTGCGCCTTAAATGTATTTTTGTGTTGTAACTCTCCCCCTAAGCTCTTATGGCCTCATTTACAAAATATTTTTAAAGAACTTTACGAAGTTAGATTTAAAAAAATCGATCTATGAAGCATTGTTTATTTTTTTTTTGAGTTAATATATTTTCGAAGGTAATTAGAAAATATGTAAAGAACCGACTTTCTCTTGGAAATTTAATTTATAATCTTATAACTGGAGTCTACTATCGCACCCTTTCCTCAAACGTGTATTGATTCAATATTCAAATAACGTATATTTATATAATTTGAAAAAATCTCCCTACTATACAAATATGTACAGCAATATTAAATAATATTTTCAAATGTTGTGAGAGGGAGTAACAAAACAAAATTACTTTTAAGGCGCAGCGAAGCACGCCGGGTATTCGCTAGTGTCACATGAAATTAACTGAGCAAAGTACAATGAATAGCTGTTAAACAATGGCACCATCTACTTTAAATGAAACATACTTATTTTCGTGGGGGATACTCACACACCATATACTTTTCTATTGAAATTTTTCCTGAATTTTCCTAGCTATAAACCTCCAACGAATGCAAAACCGTGAAAATCGGTTCGTGCGTTCTGGAGTTATAGCGTCAGGAAGGAAAACCCTACTTATTTTTATATTAATTTTTATATTAAAGAAGATTAAAGAACTGTCCGCATTACTCAATTTTATTTTTCACTAAAACGGTATTCATGAATTTTTTAATTTTTTTTTTATTTGCTTCCGCATACTTTTGACATAACAGCTTTCATTTTATGCCGATATTAAACAAATACAGCCTAAGTTTACCCGGGTCCACGTTTTGGTCTGTATCTCGTGACCCAAGTCACCCAGCTATATGAAAAGTGCTCAATCTTAAAGCATTCATGAA